TTCCAAGGTCCAGGACAAGCTGCAAGTCACGGGATTTACATACCTGCATCGAAGCCATCTTACTGGGGGAGAGCAGGGAATGACGGCATACAAGTTTAAGGGACTATATTCCCTTATTCCCTAACCACCAGAAAGCCGTTTGAATCAGAGGTTTGGGCTTTAGAGTCTGCTTTTTGTTCATAATTTTTGGCCGTCTACTCATTGTGTTTTGTGGACTTTATAGACCCCTGGCAGATGTTACTGCTGCCCCTCAAGGACGTAATCAAAAACAACAGGTTTAGGGTGTAGAGTTTTGGGTTTAAGGTTTAGGCTGGGTTTAGGGCAAGACTAAAGATTGGAATCCTGAACCCTAAAGCCTAGGGATAATCCTAAAGGACCTCTGGGATACACTTCCACCCTCCAACTCCTTCCTAGTGGTTAGTAGAGAGTAAACGGAATATATTGTATACGTATACGGATTATATAGGGTGTGTATTCCCATGTTCCCTACCAACCACCAGCAAGACTCAGGGACAACCCCAAACCCGAAACCTTGAGGCCTAGATGCTGGACATGGAATCGACTCAACAGCCTCTTTCTTTTGATGTGCACCTTTGGGCAAGATGCTGTCTGGAATATTCTTATCAAAGTCTGCGAGAGTGCTCTGCAGACTTTCGAGGAAGGTGAAGTTGAAAGTCTGCTCGAAGGATGCGCAGTTCAGTGAGAAGCCAGCAAATGAGGCGTTCGCCCGCTCCTCTGCCTGAATGGTGGTTAGTAGTTAACGGAAGAATGCAATACCGCAAATCTGCTTGGGAATCTGTAGGGCGCCAAAGGTAAAGGTGTCCATTCCTCAATCCCCAACTAAACACCGGTAAGCTGCTGTCTGTGGCGTTTGCAAATCCAGCTTCGCCCCGGTGATTGATGCAATGGTGGTGGCCATTTTCATTATCTTGGCATGAAAGGATGCCAAGTTCCAGATTTTGAGCCGGTCCCCTCCGGTCAGAGCTCGTCGCCGTTGAATAAGAAGCCCTATCGCTCTTGCAAGATCTGGCAACGCTAGAAATGACCTCAAGGCATCATGCTGCTGTACTGGTGGGATGCCGCGGGTGTATGCATGTCGGAAAAGACTGGGGACAAGCAGGTCAGTTCTTTGTCCTGGTGACACACCAATCACCGTGCCAAACCGCAGCATTGAGATCAAGGGCCCTGCATATCCAGCAGCTGCAGTCATCTCCCGCAGCTTCTTTTCACGCTGGAACATGGACAACGAGTACTCGTCCAGCTTATCCACAAACACCTCATCGGTCTCAGTGGCGCCCATCCTACCCTCCGAGATAGCGGAAGTGGATGCTACGATGAAATGCTGTCGCGAATTCATCTTGGACACAACGTCCACAACATCTTGAACCTTACTTCGAGGTTCACGCTACTATATATAGACAAATTATAACTGATGTTTTGTACGCACTTATAATAAGCCCCCTAAGTCTTCCAAAATGGTTCTACTTCGGTTTCAAGATTTATACTTGAGTTGTACGTACACGGCCCAACCCTTCCCAGAGAAAATTACAACTTTCAAAGTATTGATGCTTAGTTAAGAGCTGGGGATCGGGTCTACAGGCTACTATAAGGCATTGTTTTCACTTTAGGATTTCTGGGTGCCATGATACAAGGGCCTGAATAATCACCATAGTCATTCTGGGGTCAATTTGGGCTGCCCTATTCTAGGACCACAATGTTGGACATTATTTCGGCCACTGCATTAATTTCATCAACCCTAGAAATACCTAACTGTACTTGTCCGTTCACAACAATTTGATTCTCCCATGGATCATTGCGGTATAGTATCCCTCAACCCTAAACCCATTTTCGGGTAACTTTAAGCCCCTGTATTGGGGACTATTCTGGGGACTCCCTGCCCCTATTGCGTGGCACTTCAGGGCCTGTTAGGGCTTCTCAATGATTCTGGGTCCCTGCTGGAGCTGATTGAGGGGGATATTCTAGAGAAATGCCTTTATGAAACTGTCAGTGAATGGCGAATAGCACCAATGCTGGTGCAATCCTGACGAACGAGCGAGCACTGTTAGCAACTGACATTCCATCCCACACTGACTGAATAAAGTACACAAAATCATCTTGAACCTCAACTGGCGAACGTTTAATTGCAACCGCTTCTGATGATCCAGTGCTGCGCAAGCCCTTCTGCCCCTACAGCCTCCCAGAAAAATGACCGTGTCAAATCGCTGGAGGTCTTCAGCGTCAAGGAATCTACCTTTCTTCGTGGAATGAGGACAAAAGGTGCGCACACGTTAGCAGTCGCTTTTCCCGGCCAAGTAAAGCCCAGCTTCTCATTTAGAATTAGGTCGGGCGAAAACGATTGGCATGAGAGCGTCCGCATGTCTAACAGTGGTTTGACTATTGCAAGTGCACGTGCTCTGTTTGAGGTCCTTTACTGCAAAGCGGGCAATCCGAAAGACAAGACAAACCAAAAGTTCTCCCATTGCCTTCACAGGTTACTGTGGAGTTGAGCGATGCTCATGCCTGCAATGTTGGGATGCACGTCAAAGGCAGTGACAAGGATGCCGGCTGATCGCAAATGCGAAAAGAGGTATGAGCCAACGTTCCCCCCGCCACCAACAATAGCTACCGATGTACCATCTTGGCGGACATGGCCAGACGTCTGACGTGTCCGACTGAGAGGTTGATGCCTTACTGGCAGGATGTAGTGAAGGTAAGAAGAGATATCGAAAGTATTCCATGCAGAATCCCTCCTGGTATTCCCTATAACCATCCCCTCATTCCCTGCTGAACCGCAGTAAGGTACTTGGATGACAAGCTCTTGAAGGCAAAGTGGACAGTCACCACAATCAGAGACAGCAGAAGGGCAGTGCATCGGAGAGAACCATCATTGGGTGCGGTGAAACAGCTACATGTTTGTGCTGGTTCTTGACATGACCGTCGTCCTACTACACTAGATGCCACGAAAAATTTCTTCCTGAATTTATACACCATCCCAAACACTTCTAGTGCGATATAAACAATACTTCGCCCAGCGTTATCGTGAAAACAAGAGATCCTTTAATACAGCGGGCTGGTGCCTGGTAATTTCAATTAAACCCCCTAGACCCCGCGTACGCCCTAAACCCTCACCCCAAACCCCTAAACTCAAGCCAGAGGAGGGGTTTCGTCTCTTACCAGACAACGTGGGTGTTAGCCAACCAGCTCTGAGAGCTCAATGATCTTTTTCGGATTTAGGGTTCAGTGTTTAGGGTTCAGGGCTTAGGGCTTAGGGTTTATGGTTCAGGTTGGGTACTGCCCCTGCCCTGTAACAGTCGATATTAAGGTCGCTATTAAGGGCTTTTCTATTAGCAAGTATTATCCAACTCGAGAGTGAGGGAAGTACCCAAGGTTTATGGTCTAGGGGCCTGATTAAAAATCCAGGGTTTAGGGTTTAGGGGCCTAAATAATTTGTAAGGGTTTAAGGTTTAGGGGCCAAAACAATTTCCAAGAGTTTCGGGGCCGAAATGATTACCAATATTACGGTTCCATATTTAAGGTTTAGGGTCTAGGGCGTAGGGTAGAGTTCTAAATAACTACCAATATTTCAATCATGGAGAATCAAATGGAAAAGAGCGTGCAAAATGAAATGTAAACTAGGGTTCATGCAGGGCTTCAAAGGGATAATTGCCCATGCTATGTTGCCATATTCCTTACATAATTATAGTATTAGGGTACCTCAAATTCGTGCTTATTTTGGCGCCTATTTTAGAGTTGTTTATGAGCTGAAACAGCTAGAACAAGGTGTGGGGGCTCCTAGATATAGGCCATGATCCGCAGAAGGGGGCTTCTCGAATGGGAAACCCTTAAGAACCCGCTGTGTTCAAGGCTTACACAAGCATGATAAGGGGACTGTGGGGGTCATTATTAGGGATCAAGGAGGAGGCCTGCTGATTTTGAGACTGACCCAGCCATGGATGTTGGGTTCTCCCCTCAGTGAATGGGCACCCCGTACTGTGCGCTCATCAATGATCCTATGGAACCCTGAATAGCCTCACCAAAGCATCGCATCCATTCCTACCTTCCCATGAGTTTGGAGGAGCCTCAACCCATGCGGAGACGGGGTGGCTTGCTCAGGGCCCAGAGTTCAGGGTTTTGAGCAGGGCGTCGCTCGAATACAACCTAGACATTTCACAGATGGAGTGATCTTGAGGGGCCTGTGGGATGTTTAGGGAAACGGAAGCGAGAACAAGCCCTGTTCAAGATTCTGCGTAATGCAGGGGCATAAATGACATCATTTTGAGGTCCATTTGAGGTTCCCTATACTATAAGTATACAAGGAATGTGGAATCATAATATTAGAAATTACTTGGGCCCTTATCTTAAATTAGGCTGCAAGGCTTCCTGCATCAACTCTACCAACCGGACATTTGGATTGACTCGACCCTAAACCCTAAACCCTCCAGCTTTCCTCGGCACATCTCCTAATCCTAACCTTACTAGTTTTTAGTAGGGAATGAGGGAATGCAATTGCTATATAGCTTCTGTATGACATATTCCCTCATTCCCTACTAACAACCAGTAAGAAGCCCAAACTCAAAGCCCCAAATTCCAAACCCTAAATCCTCTCCACTCCCCATCGGAACGAGTACCACGTTTTGGAGGAAGCCTCCTGGCCCTTTTCTGGCTTACTGGTTCTTAGTAGGTAATAAGGGCTATATTGTATGGAAACTATATAGGGATTATGTGTCCTTATTTCCCTTCCAGGAACCAGGAAGTTGGGGAGCCCCCCCACTCACTGTTGGAGACTGTTGCTTGCCCTCAGCGGTGGAGAAGGGGTTCCTTGAAGGGGGTTGGAGCACACACCTGATCTACAATGATGGCAATTATGCAGGACCTTAGCTTACTCTCTGGAAGTAGCTGGAGGATGTAGCTGCTCCGAACCAACAGCCATCTTACTTCCTACATGGCTTATCATCTCTATGTCTCTCTGTTCACACCCAGGTCTTTGAAATCTTCTGTTTTCATGGTGTTGCCTCTTTCACGGGTTGTTCTGGATCCTCCTCAGCTCCAGGGATCTGCTGCGGCTGCACGTTTCCATTAGGCTCCTCTTGGCTCACAGGCATATAAGGGCTCGTAGTTGGGCTTGGCTTGCGCTGGGCATACAGACAGATAGCCAGGCACACTAAGCCTGCCCCTAGTACAAACTCCGGAGAAGGCTTCCAGTCGAATAGGAAGCCTGAAATGACGCATGTGCAAATCAGCGACACTGCCGAACTGAAGCCTTTTGACACATTGTCGGCGTACTTTGCCACTGTAGCGACGATCACTCCGCCAAGGGCTTGCAAGGCCACCACGACACAGACTAGCACATTCCAGCCAACAAAAAACCCTTTCTCCATGACCTGAACGTCACTCAATGCCGAAAAGATCTTTCTTAAACCCTCCTCAGAAGGTCACACAGCAAAGAACTGACAAATAGGTGTGTGTGTGTGTGCGTTGATGTATACACGCGTAAGCACGATGGGCACTCTCGACCGTAAAATCTTGCCTAAGCAGGAAAAAGGCTATAACGATTGAACAAAAAATCCTTTGCAGCTCACCAACCTTCTTAGTGATTCTGAGCAAATGATAAGGGATTTTTTCCCTACATAATCCCTAGAAAAATATATTCCCTCATTCCCTACAAGCCGGCAGAAAGCCTTCGTTCCATCCGAAAAATACGCACCAAACGTCAGCAGGAAAATGGACCATGAAGCCAATTGCATGTTCCGCACCCAAAGGCTCTCCGCTGCTTTGAAGACTTTCCTGGGTGCACTACTTTAAACTTACCACTTCCGAGTAGGGAAAAAACTCAACATATCATCAATAGGGAGTCTTCCCTTCCCTCATCCCCGACTAATAACCAGTAAAAGACCCTCAAAACTATCCAAGAAAAGGTTCCTTTATTGTTGCAACAACAAGGGCAATTACTGTTACAAGCATAACGGAATATTTGCACAGTTATCCCTAAGTGCCACCTAGTTTCTCTGTGTAGGCAGCAGTAAAGCCGCTGGTCAAGCATGTTATCATGACCTGGGCCAAGGTCAAAGATCCGTTTTGTGTTTGGGACTAATTGGAAACCAGGGTAGGTTGAGGGGTTTAGGGTTTAGGGTAACTATAGCCCAAGTACAAACAGCAGACACAGTCTAATTAGCACAAGTGCCCCAAGCCCCTTACGTACAGTGTTACATGTGCTATGGCTATAAACATGATTTGGTCGTGAGTATGTGGGCCTCCAAGTAGGAATATCTGAATTGCAACCTACGCATCTGGTACTAGACCCATTCTGACTACATGTATGTTTGCACACATCAAAAAAGGAAAGCTTTCAGCCCCAGCCTCAGACCCCGATCCCTTAACCCTAAGCCCCAACCCCTAACCCCCAAACCCAAGAAATTGCCAACAGAACACAACAACCTCAAGCCGGAGCGACAAGGGCAATGCCCAACCAGAGGTTTGATGCCTCCTTCTTGACATGAGACTCCTGGGTTATGGTAAATGGCAAGGAAACACTGAACCCCGAAACGAGTGTACGGGTTTGCAGGCATTTAGGGCGATAGAAGTGGGAATATCAGAATATCAAAGGACGACCCCTCGCCGAAACAAATACTGAACCCAAAACCAACTTGCGTTACAGGGACTGCAAGCTAAAACATGACCCATAAAGGCTCTGTGCTGGAGCAGGCGAGGCCAAAAATGGAAGATTGTAGGATGGAAAGACACATGACGACATGCATGAATTCTGTTGCTGCACCGTGCATGCGCTGTGAAAACCCAGAAATTGTCGCCTCGCCCTCATACACGTGCTGAAGTTCTGAGGTGAAGGCTAGATTCCATAGTGTTCTTGAGATTCTACATGGAGATTCCAAATGACATGATGAAATCCAACGCTTCGGATTACTTACAGGACTTGCCAGGGATCTGCAGGGAAAAAGAGATTTATTTGTCAGGGATTATATGGGGATAATATTCCATTATTCCCTACTAACCACGAGAGGACGGAGCACCTGAGGGAGGGAACGGACTGAGCCTTGTTGTATCGCTGTCATTTTTACGTGGGGATTCCCCAAAACCAGAAATGCCCTGTCATTGCAAGGGATACCTCACGCAAATCCTTTCTTTTTCATGAAGATCCCCCAAGAACTGCTACCATGTTTGTGAAAACTCCTTCTTGCACATTCCTTAGTTTCGAACTGAAACCAGACATGACAATCGCAGTGACCTGTGAGGCTGGGCGACCCTGCTCCAACGAATGTTGAAAAAAATACAAATTAGTACTGTGACTACTATGACCACTAGGATTACTATGACTACGATGACGACCTTTTCTATTGCCACTATTACTAGTATTACTAGTATTCCTAGTATTGCTAGTACTAAGAGTATGACAAATGTTACTAATATTACTAGTACTATTATCTTTACTAGTATTACTAGTATTGCGAGTATTACGAGTATTACTAGTATTACTAGAAATACTAGTAATGCTAGTCTTCTAGTATTACTAGTAATACTAGTATTACGAATATGACAAGTAGCACTAGTATTACTAGTATTACTCGTATTACTACTATTACAATTATTACTTTTCTAGTATTACTAGTAGTACTAATTTTACTAGTATTACTAGTATTACTCGTATTACTAGTATTATACTAGTATTATACCAGTATTACTAGTATTGTTATTACTACTACTACTACTACTACTGCTGCTGACATTCTTATTACCACAGAGCTCCCGGGCACCAGCAGATCACAGAAGAATGACATCAGCCTGGTCTGAGGATTAGCAAGCCTTAATTGACAGAAATGCCACTGTTCGTTCATTATTTCTATCGTTTCATTTTTATTAGTATATTATTACATTATCATTTATTATGATTGGATTTTTTTAGTTTTATCAGTTGCCGAGATTCTGCCAACTGCACAGTGCCAGTGCCCACAGTGCAACAGGCAATCCCAAGCCACTGCCGGCCCGAAAACGATCGATGCAAGATTACAAGACTGAAAAGCGCTGTTGTCACCATTTTAAACTGCGTGAGAGTTTGGAAAAGCCAGACGTCAAGATAGGTTATCGCGACATAATTCAAAGAGTTTTGCGTTGAATAGAGCAGGGCGGGAATCAGCATCGTGAGCGCACCCCATGAGAAGTACCTGTTCCACAATTCAATTGCTCCTCGGCCGTCAGGTACAAAGGGCGAAATCACCCTCAAACCAAAACTCTAGACCCTGAATCCTAGACCCTGCAAACGTCCTAAATCCTTAACCCCAACCCTCAGACCGTTGGCCTGGCCAATTTATTGCTGATCCTGTCTTTGTTGGCGGTTGCGGGGAAAACAAACGCTTACGTAGCTTCCATTTTCTAGTCCATTCCTTCATTCCCGCGTAGCAACCAGGAAAACATAAAACCTTTGTGCCGCCTGCGGGTCCATAGTCCAGGCAAGCCAGCGTGGCCGACAAGCAGAACTTGACAGCTTCAACGCTCAGCACAACGCTTGTGATGATGTATGACTCAGGCGCAAAATCGCCTTCGTCCTTTTTTGGAATTCTTGATACCCGCATGCATATGGCCAAGGCCGAGTCCACGACCATGAGCAAAACCAGCGTCAACAGTTTCAGGCAAAGACCGCTTGCCCCTGCAGGCACCATTAGCCCTCAAACCTAGGCCGTAAATTCACACAAACCTCCATGGCATGACGCGCCAAAGCAAGCACGGTGCATATGGAACGTTGTCACATCACTGTTTGTCAAACTTATCGCAGACTCTGGGAAGCATTGCGCCCAAACTTGATGCTCAGCCGAAAGGACGGATGCCATGAGAAACACCTTTGAACAGATGCATACTACGGGCAAACAAGAAACAGACCTTTTACCATACAAAACAACGCACTAAACCAAAGCAATACAATTGACGTTAGCTCAACTCAAGTAAGGGTACCCAAAGAAACCTGTCATCAGGACACTTCAAGAAAAATGGAGCGAACGACGGGAAGGCTAACGTACCAAAGTGTTTGATGAGGGATTGGCAAACATCACTTTCGTTACTTTCGTCCCACAAGTAACATGAAGACGTATTCCAGTTTAGGGGAAAACCATGTTGTTTCAAATTCCCAGAAATCGTTTAACTTGAGATGGCCCGAAATATCACTATTCGAATCCATTCCTCAAGTTAAAGGACAAACTGTGCACGATCATATTTATAAAAAATCACATCACTCAACATGACTGAATTAATCACGCTGATGCACTCCATGTTTTCACATCTGTGGCCAAGGGGTTGAGTCCTTACAGAGAGTCAGGTCCCCACTTCGTCGCATGGATCCACTTTCTTGGGGTCAGCGCCACCGCCAACAAAGGGGCTCAGAGAGCAACATCCACATGCGCCCGAAATACCCCCGCATTTTTGGACGGGGTGTGGAGGGTGGGGGTCCAGCAATTTCACGTCTCTGTTGAGCCCACTTGCAACACAACCAAGCAATTCGTCACATGTCACGACATGTTATTTTGGCGGACATGGTTCATCAAAAAGATTGCTGAAACGAATGGCAAATATTCAAGCTCAAACAACCATGAATTTGTGCATGAAATGTCCGATGGACAATTTGAACATGACATTATTTGCGTTTCTCCACACAAGTTTTTTCCCAACTGGAAAAGTCATCATCGGTTTGAAGCAACAGTCCTTCCACCAATGTCCCTTGTTCTTGCCAAGGCTTTCACTTCTTGCTCATACATCCGCTCTGATCTGGCCACCAGCGCTTGAATACGTGAAGCCTGAGAATAAAAGCTGTAATCTTGCATGAGGGTCACAAAAAAGAATCCACATCATCCTGATGATAATGCCCGCAGACATTCCATATGCACCGGCACTATTTAACTTGTCAATCTCCATTCGATATTCCAAAAGAACAATGGAATTTGAAAGTGACTTTGCTTCTCAATCAGGAATACAAATGGGCATCCACAGGAGGTGGCCCAGAACTTCTTTTGAACCATGCATTCGTCCTGGAACTCTATCGGGGCTCGGCAAATGCAGGCTTCACAGTGAAACTTGTCTCAGCTGCCACGTTGGGATCCTCGAACGAAAAGCGCGCACAAGTAAGTATGGGGGCGAATGCTCCATGAGGAGTGAAATCCTCAAATCTCAGCCCAGCTTCAGCTACGGTGAAGCAGTGCAGGCTCTCTATTCCTTGTCCTTAGCACCGAAATGCTCACGACATGGCAGGGCTGTTGAAGTATGACAACATAGAATTCGTGGCCTCATCTGAGCTATCAGCTATAGTCTAAACTCCTAGTATCCCCCTGAATAACCCCCCTAGTACTCCCCTACAGAATCCCCTATATAGCTCCCCTTAACGGAGTTTAGATTATAGCTCACCTGAGTAGCATTTTCTTTAGTGGCTGAACCTAGTAAGATAATATTCCTTATATAAAATCTCACCTGAAGATATCTTTCAGGCTCCGGCATTCCATTGGACTTCACCGTCTCGAGGTCCTTTGCATTCCCTTCCTGCAGCAGAGATTCATACCCGTGGTTTGGAGGGAATATGGGAATATGTTATATGGGGTCATATGAGGATTCTATGGGGGTTATATAGGGATTATATTCCCATATTCCCTACTAACCCATACTTAAATTTAATTCCCTTCCTGTAGGGATTAGGAATCAAATGGAAAAGAACATGGAAACTGGGATTATATGGGGTGTCCTAGGCACTTACCAATATTTGCTTCAAACAGACGTTCTAAGCGGCCTTGCTGCGCCATAATCAAACAACAATGCGTGGTACGAAGCTCCAAACACTGCTTCATTCCAGCTGACCCCTTGCTGACCTACCGATCTTGGAATTCAACAACCTGAAGACGGAGAGTTTGAAAGGCAAGGCCTTGCAAAAGCAAAAGGAGCTTGGTTTTTAACGGCACTCGCGGTTCCTACATGAATCCTTGAGCCTATGTCTGTTGGACTCCATCTTCACACAGCTTGCATCTGCTGACTGCTTCCGCCTCGTTCAACTTCAAGTTCGCAAG